CGGGAACGCGCCTTCATGTGAATAGTGAAATAATAGGTACTGATATATCTAGTGTCCCCGAGGGACATGAGTGACATAATAGGGCAATGATAACATATTCTCTGATGAAATAATGGAAGGCGCGCCCCCGGGAACGCGCCTTCATGTGAATAGTACTCCGATTATAGACACTATTATATGCAACGTATTATAAACTTTCAAAACAAACTTCAGTTCACAATCTTTCAAATTCTCAAATTCCCAAACTCTAAATTCTCAAATTCTCTGAAAATGAGTCGTCTTTCTGCTGTTGTTTTGTATGATGGAGAAATTAAGGAAGCTGAAGAGGGGGTTGTTTTTGAGTCAGATCATTATATCCCCTTAACCTTGAAGAGAAACATCTCAATTGAGGAGTTAATCACAAAAATTTCGTTAAAGATTCGTGTAGCAGGCCAGAGAAGACTATCTTCACTTCAGTACAGATTTCCTACTGAACTTTTTCCGCTCACGTATACATCATTTCAGCTTTCAAATGATGATGATGTTTCTATGATGGTTGATGCTCATATGGGGAGTTCACAATCTCTTATTAAAATGTATGCCACTTTTATTGAGGTTCGTGCAACTCGTGGTCTCTCATATTCCTCTCACTTTGGCATTGCATATCAAACTGATCAAGTTGATAGCCTGACACAACTGATATGTAATGATTTCACATCATTAATGGCGGATCCAACGCCATATACCATGCCATCAAGTTCAATAGGAAGGCATTCATCTACAACTGCTTATGATCTCAACCCACGTGGCTTCACCAATAATCCATATGGCAACATCTCTTCTACTTCAAGGGGCAGACATTCATCTGCCAATGTTTTCGACTTACATATGGAAATGCCAACGAGACGACAGTCTATTCACATCCCACATGATACAATGGCCTCAAGTTCAAGGGGAGGACACGCAAGCGGGAACTTATTTGACCTCAATATTGGATTATCGGAGGAACCCTCATCTCCACCAGAAGAACCTCTTCGGGAGCCAGGTGTGATGGTGCTGAAACAGGATTATTCGTTGAACCTGACTCACCACAGTTTAACGTACATTCTGATGATGACGAGGATGACGTTTCGATAAATACAACACCAGTCGAACTTCCTACACATATGTATGAGGCTGATTATGATGCAATGTATGAGCCTGAATTTCCAGATCTTCCTGATGTTGGCAACTATGGACTTCAATCATCAGTCAATGACGGTAATTTACATATTGGAATGGATTTCGCATCGAAGGAGGAAGCAATGATGGCAATAAAGAGTTACAATATTCGTAACTCAGTTCAGTCCCGAGTTGATCGATCTAACACGGAGAAATATGTCTGCTACTGCGTCCAACGTGACAACGGATGTCAATGGATGGTCCGTGTATCAAAGAGGAAGAGGAAGAACAACTTATGGGAACTAACCAGATACAACGGTCCTCATACATGTTGTGCAACAGGTATAAACCAGGATCATCCCAACTTGGACTCCAACATTATTTGTCAAGCAATCATGCCCATTGTGAAGCAAAGCTCTCATATAGCTGTTGCAGTGTTGATTTCTGCTATACAGTCACAATATGGGTACACTGTCTCATATAAAAAAGCGTGGTTGGCAAAACAGAATGCCATTTGCAAACTTCATGGCGAATGGGATTCCTCTTACAACGAGCTGCCCAGCTGGTTTCATGTTGTGCAAAGACTTAATCCTGGGACAATTGTTGAGTTCTAAACTCAACATCATTACGTGAATGATCGAATGGTTCGCGATCGCTGCCAATTTTACCGAGTCTTTTGGACTTACCCTCAGTGTAGTAATGCAGTCAAGTACTGTAAACCAATTGTCCAAATTGATTGTACTTTCTTGTATGGGAAATACAAGCAAGTTTTATTATTGGTTGTGGTCCAAGATGGAAATCGCAATATTCTTCCTGTTGCGTTTTCCCTCGTTCAAGGAGAAGACACTGAGTCTTGGGCTTTTTTCCTTAAAAATTTACGTTTGCATGTTGTCACCAGGGAACGACTATGCATTATTTCAGACCGAGGAGCCGGGATAAAAGCAGCAATGGACTCTTTGGGTACAATGTATAGACCTCCACATGTTCAACATCGTTATTGTGTCCGTCATATTGCTGCAAACTATTACAGAAAATACAAGAAGAACGATGAACGTCAGTTAGTCGTGCGGATGGGTATGTTACTTTTTCCCAATTTTTCTATCAATTTCTTATTACTTATTTATACTTCATATTAACTATTACATATTCCTAATGGCTTAGGTTACGAACTCTTACCTCAAAGGTTTGAGTCGATGCTACAAGAGCTGTTTGGCAAAAATAAGAAGGGGTGCGAGTACATTATGGACATCAGCAAAGAAATGTGGACAAATGCATATGACGGGGGGTATCGCTATGGTCATATGACAACAAACTTGGCTGAAGCAATAAATTCAACCTTAAAGGGGGCGCGTCATTTACCAGTCACGGCGTTGGTTAAAACGACTTATTTTCGTTTGGGTCAACTCTTTGCAAAGCTCGGTGGACAAGCTCTTACTTGGATGCAAAACGGACATATTTACCACCCAAGACTAGTAGTTGATTTACAGAAAAAAGTGGCTGCATCAAATGGGATGTTATTAACAAATTTTTCTCGCACCCGTGAATTGTTTCGTGTAACCGAAATGCCACGTCCGCTGCAAGGGATTGAAGCTAACTCTTTCAGAGTTAATCTGCAAGAGAGGTGGTGCGATTGTGGTTTCTTTCAAGCACTCAAATATCCATGCTCTCATGTCATTGCTGTTTGCTCACATTCGCATTTGGACTACAAAAATTATGTTGATCCCGTATACCAACTTTCACAAGTATTCAAGGTATATGAATTTGAGTTTCCGCCCATAGGAAACGAAAGAGACCCAAATGAGATTCAAACTTGGCTTACAATTGTACCAGATCCATTGCTATTGAGGGACTCAGGTCGTCCAAAATCTACTAGAATACATTGTGATATGGATATTCGGGAGAAGTCAACAGAACAAAAACGATGTGGGCATTGTAGAAACATCGGGCACAATAGAAAAAAATGTCCAGCTCTGTTATCATCATATAACCGTTAACTCTTATATAATTAATATTGTATTTAAATGAATGTTTTTGTTTCTAATAATTTAATGTTATTGCATTTATATAATTTGTCAATGTATGTACACCTAAATAATTTTTTTAACTTTTAAATACATAAATATATTTAATATATTTATTTAATATAATAATTAATATTATTAGTTATAATTTTTTTTAAAATATAATAATAATTCCACATTCTAAGTAGAGAAAAATATTAAATTAAACAAATTAAAAGTTATTAAAAAAATTATGTATACGATGACACATTTCATGTTCTGATTGGAGGATTAAATTTATTAAATTAAATTTTCAATAAGACTAATTTTATAAAATATGTAAGTCTTGAAGATTAAATATGTAATTATACTAATTTATTAACTTATGCATCAATATTTTCGTTAAATATTGATATGAGATGACTAGATTGATAACATTTAAATAATTAACTGATAAAATTAATAGATCGATAATCAAAATCAAAAATAATAATATAACCATATGTGTAATATTATAATTTCATACATTTTTCCTATAACTACAATAAAGTCAAAACTGGTTTTCATATATTGTTATATCATATTAATGTAGATAATTCACTCCACCTTTAACACACATTAACTAAATACATTTGATAATTCTTACATTATAATCGAAACATTTTACATAATATATTATTAATTTATAATAATAATAAAAATAAACTATTTATTATAAAACAAAATACGTGTCTGCTGAGTTGGCAAAGGCGCGTCCCCGGGGACGCGCCTTCCACACGTGGCATCCAACTCAGCGAAAACGCGGGTAAAGCGCGTCCCCGGGGACGTGCCTTTGCCAACTCAGCAGAAAGGGTGTTATTTCTGGAAATATTGATCAAACGGTGTCAGAAAGAGAAAATTTAAAGCAAACGGTGTCAGTTATATAATTTAGCCGGTGTATTGGGTTTGATGTATCTTATTTGTCTAGGAGTTTGTAGGTAAGTTTGGTAGATGGTTGGGTAGCTTCATTTTGATCTGTTGTTTTGGGCATGCCTTGCCGTTTCGATTCGGCATTTTTTTAATAAAATTGTTGGGTAGCTTCAACGAGGCCACTATTTTATTTCAAAAAAAGTTGCTATGCACGTTATAATGATGAATTATTATTAAAATATTAAATTAACAATAGTTTATTAAACACTTATTAAACTAAAATAAATAATTTGAAACAGTTTTTAATATTAATATTTTAAACTATAACTATTATGGAATGATTTTAAATTAAAATTGTTATTATATCATTATCTTTATATAATTAATAATTAATAATCAAATATGACCGTGTGATATCAAAACATTAAAAATACATAAAATTTAATATGATTAAGTCAAAGTGATTACAAAATAGTATATGTTCTGAATACTCTCAACCATTTAATAATGAACGCCAACAACGATTCCTTTAATCGTTGAAATAAATTAATTCATAAAAATTTAATATGATTTTAAAAAAAAGTAAAACACAAAATTTAATATCATTTAAAAATTATATTAGAATTTGAGGAAAAATAATATAAATAAGATATTAAATAAATTATAAAAATAAAATTATTATTACTATTTTATTAAACTAAAGTGATTAAAATAATATTTATTTTAGATACTTTTAATCACCAATCGTTGATATTTTAAGTCGTGATTTTTAAAAATAATAACGATTCTTTTAACTAATGAGATAAGTTAGATGTTATATAAAAATAAAATTAGTGTATTTAAGATCTAACGTTCATTAATACTAAAATAATATAATTTAGTACACCACCAACTCGATAAAACTAAAAACAATGATGATGTAAATTCTCTAATGCAAACGAATGAAACCAGTGGCATCAAAACTAAACTTTACGAGTAATTAAATTTGCAATTCCCAGGATCTGACCCCATGTAAATTCATCATTGCAAATACCGACAAAGTAATTGACGGACTTGTAGAACAGGTAATATAATAAAAGAACAAAAATTAAAAGGTTCCAGTACATTCCCTATCACCTTGATCTCTGTTGGTCGTTTTGCAAACCCCATTTCCTCACCGTAAGCTGAAACTCGGTCGAAGCAGATAGAAACTGCAGTTTTTGGATTGGACTCAGCGTTTGTAGTAACTTCCTTACAGTCGAGCAACGGAGTTTATCAGCTCTCTCCAGTACTCTTAGCATCTCAACCTTCATTTCCTCCATTGCCGACTCAAGCTCCGACAACTCCTCATCGATCCATCCCCGGTAACGCCTAATCAGGTTCAACAGCGGCAGAGCTGCCAAGCTCTCTTGAATGGTCGCCGAGTCCTGAGTCAGCTCTCGTTCTTCTCTTCTAGTCTCGCATTTAACTCGCTCAATGGCTTCCTCCTGTTCGGGGGTCAATTCTGGTACCGAGTTGGCGAGTAATTTAAAGAGTAAGAATGGCTTGAACCCACCAAACCAGAGCAGAGCCTTCTCGAAACAAGTTAACCATGGAGGAGAGTAGAAGAGCAGAACTCGTTCCTTGGCCGCCGTGGATTTCTCTACCAGGTACTGTTCGTAGTGAGACACCACTTGATGAATCAAACTCTCCCGCTGCTGGATTTGGTCTTCATCTTGGGATCTAAGTGCTTGAACAAGACGTTCATGGAATCCTTCCTGACGAACAAGCCAGCCATTGAAGAAATTTTCAAAATTCTGGGCAATGCTCCAATCATCATTACTAGCGGCCATAGGTGTGGGTATTTGTCTGGACTGAAGTACTAGTGTGTGTTATAGTTTGGTGTGTTGGGGGGGGGGGAACAGAGGTGCTTCCATATATATAGGTTTGAAAATAGCAATTGCCATGTGCTTTTTGATTTTTACTGGAATTTTTAAATTGGTTTTTTTTAATGTTTGCTTCGACCGAGTTTCTAAAGTTTTCTTAAATGGTAAGGATGCAAAATAAGGGGGAGAAGATGCAAATGTGTTGGGATTGTGTTGGTGCAGTTAGAACGACATTTTGCTTAATATAAAAGGAATGGAAAGTGTGGCGGCGGCAAATGGATAGACAGGCAGGCAGGAGCCTCTGGATTTTACGAAACAGCCAGCACAATCATCAGCTTTCTGGAACATCGAGGATTTTTTAGAGGTCAACTCACAACACGGGTTTGACGTCTCAGTTGTTTCAGAAAGGCATATATTTACTGTCAATCAAACTTTTGAAATGGTACAAGTTTATCATCATTGATCAATTCTAACGTAATTACAAAACATCTGTTCCTTTAAATAGCACCTTATGTCGGTAAATATTTGTTTTCTTAAAGATATAAAAATTTCATAAAAATCTTGATTTTTTAAAAATAATTTATTTTAAGAGCATTTATATTTTTATTTTTATGTAATTTTACAATTGTTTGTCACTTTGAGAAAATTGATGTTTTACAGATATTGAAATTAAGATTATAATGTCCCGTATCGGATCCGATTACTTGGCTACTTTTAAGAATCTACAAATCCGAAGAATCAATACTAATAACAGATGTTATATGATTTTTCATAAACAAGTTAATCCATTGCAACGTTGTTCCGTCGGTCTATGACCCCAGCATTCGTAGAATGATTCACTGGAAGCAAATACGTTGCTCTACTTCTATAGATGAAACAACCAAAGAGTTATGGAAGCCTCCAGATGGGGACAATATCAAGTTCAGTTTTGATTCTGCCTTCACCCAAAAGACTAAAACTGCAGTATCAATGGTTTTAGCAAGAGACAATAATGATCTAGTCATGTCAACATGCACTTTTCCTATCGATTATGTTTCACATGCTTTCGTGGCGGAGGCAAAGGCATGTGAACAGTCCATTTTAATCGTCAAGGTTTTATAAAAGTTTGAGATAATTACAAAGTAATAATTGTTAAAAAATTTAATGCATGGACATCTTATAAACTACTCGATTATGAATCTTTTTAAAAAGCATAATATTTTTTTATTATCACTTAAATCACTATAAGTCACTAAATAAATTTCTTCTATAAAATTATCAATATTATTAAGGCTTTACAGCCCCACAAACACGAGTACAAGAGTGGCCTTTTTTCAGGAGATGGATTGTGGGGAGAGGTGTATAAAAAATCTGAATATTTGATTTTGCACAAAAGATATCCGAAATTGGATTTGGGAAAAATCGGTTTTTTTAAACCGGATCGGATATTTAAAAACCGGATAGTATAACCGGTTTGGGAAAAAATTGGATGATCGGTTTTTTTACCGGATTAAAAACCGGTTTGAAAAAAACCAGATAAAAATCCGGTTTTTATCCGAAAAAAATCCGGTCTAGAGTTTTAAAAACTAGCCGTTACTGTAACCCCCTAGACCCGGCCTATGCGTTTCGACTAAGTCTAGTGGATCACATTATGATTATTAAAGACATTTTTCGAAACCGTTATTCCATCAATATAAAATCACATTATAAATAACATGAAATTATAAACAAATTATACTATCAAAATCCAACTCGTAAATATAGTACCAATAAATAATAATTTAATTTAAAACTTGTCTTCAAATTCAATATCACAATAAACCGAGCAGTATTAGCAAAAGAGTTATCATTATAAAAATCCGATATTTTAAAATAAGGTCCATGTCACCAAAATAAAGTCAACTTGCCAGATAAAAACATTACAATTTGATTTACTTCAAGAGATATGTTGATCCTCCAAGTGCTCGAACCAAGGTATCTAACCAACAGTATCTGAAAGGGGAAAACATTTTCAAAAGGTGAGATAGGCTCAGTGTGTCCCAACATTTCCATAAAATCACAATAGGTACAAATCATAGTCCAGTAATCTCACAAATTCGTAAAAGAGTTTAACTTTTTGAAAATCATAGTTTAAACCCTTTTTCTGGTACACCATCAGTAGTTCCCAAAAGTATTTTCCATATAGCTTACTTTATGCACATAGCAAAAAGAAAGCCGACTTAAGGATAGGCAATGAAGCTTGTATCCTTAAGCCCAAGTCAATAAGTCCATATAGCTTACCCTAAGCACACAGCAAAGGAAAGCCGACCTAATGAAACATCTTGGGGCCCTCAAGAGTCACATTAGGCCCAGTTAGCTTGATCAGAGCTATTCCATCGTATTTCAATTCCAAAATTCAATTGCACCGTGACATAAATTCCATAAATCCAAAAACATGGTAATCATATACCATTTCAAAACAAAAATTAGATAGCAGCCATATTCAATAAATTGTCACATTAAATTGGTGCATCCATAAAACAATAGCCAATGAATTCGGTGTACCACATATTAAAACCAATAAAACAATTCAATAATAAGTAGGGAACACACCTCGACAATAAGTTCAAATAGCAAATTTACTGATTGCTGGTTTCACCACGCTCTGCTACAATTTTCGAACGGGTGAATACTGGCACACGTGGTTTAACTGATCTAGAAGAGCTGGGTCGAGCTGTCGAACGATCCGGAGAGTCTCTTGTACCTTCAAACAATAATAATCTATCAGTCCCAAATCCTATTTAATTGTTCAAGCTAGTCTTCTTAAGTATATAAGCATTTTTCGAGTTTGACTATCAATTTGGGGTATTTCGAGTCTGAATTTGGCCAAACAGATTGCGGAAACAGAATCAGGACGTCGAAAAATATAAAGTATGACTTTTCGAAAATTCAGATTCTTGGTCAAAGTCAAATTCAACCACTTTGACCATAGATTTGGAGACCTTCGGATTCGAATTTGACAAAACGGACCAAGGAAACGGATTTGGCACGTCGAAAACTATCAGGATAGGTATACTCGGAAAAGATTAACGGTCGTTTAATGCTCGGTCAAAGCCATTTAAGTTTTGGTCAAAGAAAGTCAACGGTTAACGGTCAACGGTCAACGGTCGGGTCGGGTCAACGGTCGGGTCGGGTCGGGTCAACGGTCGGGTCGGGTTAGACCGATCAAACCGGCTCAGACCGGTCAAACCGTCTCAGACCGGTCAAACCGGTTCGAACCGGTTGAAACCGGTCAAACCGGTCAGAACCGGTTCGAACCGGTTGAAACCGGTCAAACCGGTCAGAACCGGTTGAAAACCGGTTAAACCGGTTTCCAGCAGCCACTCGCCCTGCGGCGGCGCGTGTGGCGCGTGAGGCGTCCTCCGGGGCCCTAAAAATCCCGAAAAATTTCTAAAAATTATTTGAGCGATTTCGAGATACTTACAACGATCGGTTCAAATTTTTGAACGGCGGAGAGCTCGATTTCAAATCGGCCGAATCTTTGACTGCACCACCTCGTCACGCGCCGCCGTCTACGGCGGACAAGGTTGACACGGTGAACTCGGAACGGCACAAGGAACACGATGGTGCGGGAGGTGTCGTAAACAGAGCAACGATCAGCGGTGAATTTAAGATTTTCTCGGCGATAGAGCTAACAAAACCATCGCTACTTTGACTGGAAATTCCCGACGTTTGGCCGCGTTTCGCTTCAATTAATTTGAAGGGTTTGCTCCTCACTCGATGATGAACACAACGGTGGTTTCAAAACAACGATCGGAATTCGGACGGCGTCGGAATCGAGTTTGGAAGTTGTGTGCGTGAGGAAGGATTTGTGAAATTGATTTCTGTTTTTCAAAACATAAATCACGCATATAACAATTGTCTGCCGACACTCCATGGTTAAATTCAGGGCTTGGTCCCTGAATTTTCTTTAACTTTAAAACAAGCTCCAAGTTTTAAAATCTTTCAATTCAGTCCCAAATTTTCGCCAAATTTTCACAATTAAACCCTCCAATTTTAATTAAATATTATTTTGAAAATTGGGTTGTTACAGTTACGGGGTATTGTGACCTTTTTTAACTTTTTATCTTAAAAATCACCATTTTACCACCCTAAACATGTATATATAGGTTGGAGATGTATTGGTTGATTACAACTTTCTCAAATCTTATTACACAACACCTAAACATCTCTCAAATCTTTTTTTTTTAATTTTTTGTTCATCATGGCTACAAATCGATTTTTTTATATCTGTTTTTTTAAACTGATTTTTTTCAAACCGAAACCGGTTACAGCATCCGGCCCTCCAAACAGATTAGAATCTGAACCGATTTTTTTAAATCCGATTTTTAGTTAGGTAAAAAATCGGATCGATTTTTATCTGATTCATATCGATTTTTTATCCGACTTTATGCATGTATACTTGTAGGGGGAAATAAATGTGATTTCAGAAAGGGCTGCTTGGACAGTGTATTGGATTTGGATAATAAATGATCCAACAAGGAAATGTCGCGGCCAGCAACCTACCCTTCTTTTGTCCTTTATTTTATTTTTTTCTGAAGAGTTGTCCTTTAATGTATTGATTATTATGTTTGAAGTAGTTCACTCCAGGTAGCTGCCGACCCAAGCTAAGGGCTAAAGCGATAACGTTGTCTGCCGACTTTGTACGTATTTAATATGCCTGGCTTACCTCAAGCGCAGCTGAGAATATGGGCGGCTTTTGTCCTCCAACGTCCACGAACTTAACTCCCATCATGTGCTTAAAGTTCGGTTACCCAAATCTTTCTCTTATCTTTTGCAACATCTCATTTATAGATTACTCATATGATCCTTATCCTTGAATTTTTCCCTTATTAGTGGCTTTTCTAAAGGGGTTATACCTTCACTAAATCAACTTGTTTCTTGATAATTCAAATTAAGTAATCTCATATGATTGAAAAAGTTTATAAAAGTGTTTATATATAATCATTTTTCATCTTTATTGAATAATTAAGACTACGATACAACGCACTGGTTGTCATCGCCTACTTGTG